AACATATGAATCCTGGTACACGCTTACCACTTTCTTTGCCTCTACTACTTTTTTGCTACCGTTTTCGTTCTCTCTTGCCATTTCTCGCAAAAATGCCATCGACTTCTGACTTGCAAACCATTAAAACGACAACGGAATCGGGTGTCGTTCGTCTATATGGAACAACGCATTTAAGTAAATGCGATTACATTACATTTCATTTCGTTTGCCATTTAAATGGAATCGAGTGTGTTGTATGCGCCTCATTCTATTTCTCTCTTTTGCTGTCTCTTTTTTCACACAGTCTCTCCCACTCTCTCAGTGCCGACAGTGTTTAGTGTATCCACTACTCTCAGAATTCAAAGGAGGCAAACTAAAAAACATATAGTGTAAAACATCAAATTACCCACTGTCTTTTGCCATTGTAGGCAAAATGTCAGTTTACCTCCACTGTATTCAAATTTTCGGCAAAATGTCATTTCACCTAAATTGTTAATACATTGAAACACCGTTCCACCAAAAATGTAGGTAAAATGACATTTTGCCGACAATTTTAATACAGTGGAGGTACACTGACATTTTGCCTACAATAGCAAAAAACAGTGGGTAATTTGATGTTTTACACTATATGTTTTTTTATTTGCCTCCTTTGAATTCTGAGAGTACGTGCACGATTTTGTAACAACATTCACACAATTTTCGCTCGCCTCACAATATGATTCACAACTAAATAGTTCGACAGCGGCCGAGAAAAGTAAGAAATAATAGCAACAACCATACTTTTCAACTTGAAAATGGCAGTAATAATATCAGAGTAAACGGGTGAGCGGATGCGTGTTCGTGTGCGCGCGAGCGCACTCTCCCGCTCGCTTGCTTCCCCCGATCGAAAGAAATTACCGCCGCAACGTTCCAGCTTGGTTTCGGTTCCATTCACTGATTTCAAGTACATGGCTGCGAGCAAATAGTGCAAACAGTAAGCATTCAGCACCAAATGCCGAAGCACAAACACACACAGCACGGAGAAGAAGAAACGAATACGATGGAGAGAAGGCAAGAGGGAGTGAGAGATAGAGAGAGAGATACGAAGAAGAAAAGCGAAGGGAAAAATTCAAATAAACAAAAAATAACAACAAAATTCTACTGCACATTTTGTTTTATTGTATAATAATCATCATCATCGTTCGTGGTATACGGTTTTCAAACTGAATTTGATGCAATCAGATTGTGGCCACTGCCATATGCCCGTGTGCCCGTGTGTGCGTACTACTGTATGCAGTATTCGTCTCTCTGTACCTCTTGCGTAACGAGAGCAAAAAGTGAACGAGTTACTTGGTGTGCTGTTTCATGAGCATTTAGGACAATTGTTGCTAATTCATTTGAAGAGAAAAAATGCAACAACAAAAAAACGCCACGACGGACGAGAATGATGACGGTGGATACACAACACTCGCATACATTGTTTTGTTGTTTCGTTGTTGTTATTTTATTCGCCAAGGTTTGTTACGCCTCATAGTAGCTTAGGTACAACATATAATTGCGCTTCGGCTTTAGATCGGTCAAACATCAAACACACACAACATAGAAATAGAAAGAAAAAAAAATGAAAAAGAAGCGAATGTGTGAGTTGAACAGAACCGAACCGAACCGAACTAGAGAAAAAAAGAACCATCAAGCATCAAAAAATAATGAAAATTCCTAAATTGCATTAAAAAAAGAAACCATTCCCAATGGTTTCACTGACGTATGTGAGTGTGTGTGACGCGTTGGCATTAAAATCTGCACAACGAGATGCATCGAGCATGCATTCACATATATGAGCTAGAACAGAGAAAAAAAATGTAACAGCACAACCGATTCAATGACTGACATGCGATGCCGGTTGAAAGACGAACCACCACAAATGACTAGAAATATTCAGACATTTTCAATGAACACTAAAAATCTGGAGTTTGGCATGCCATTTTTTTCCGGAAATCAAATCGATGTTCCGTATTAGTTTATTGGAATTGATAAATTTCCATTACCAAAAATACAAATTTCATTAAAACAAATGAATCAATCAGGCAATTTGAAGAAAAACATGGACGATCAACTAATCGCAAGAAAAAATCGAACTCAATCTATCTGCAAAATCTAATTTTAATTCGATTGTTTTTCCAATTGGTTTTTGTTTTTTGTTTAAATTTAGAAAACCACATCCAAAAATCACTGCCTCTCATGTCGCCGAATCTTTTCACAAATTTTGAATGTTTAATTGAACATCATCGTATATCAAGCTGTTTCAATTTTCAGGCATCACATCGCAGCGCGCGTGTTACGTCTTCTCGTTTTTGCTGTGAGGCTGTCACAAAACGTGAGTGCCAATGTTGCAAAGACATTGAGATTGTTACGCGAGCCATAACATTTTGTTGGATCGGATGCATGAACAAATCCCCAAAAAGCAACGACGCGCACCACATCGAAACGACGACATGGGTTAGAACTCTGATTTTTACAAGCAATTATCGAAAATTCTCTGTAGGTTCAATTAAGAGATGCTTGACATTAGCAGTGATGACGGCGGCAGTGGCATCAGTTGTTTTAGCATAGGTACAAAAAAAAACAGCGGAAGAGAGAAAAAAATGTCGGCATATGTGCTGATTTGAAATGAGAAAAAATTGGTATTCACACCTAACACCATTCGGTTTAATCATTTAGGATTATTTACACACATACACATACTCTCGCATACACACATTACAAGTGTTTACAAGCAATATAGCTCCGGTACGGTATTGGTGCAAGTGCGGGTACGAGTGTGCATGCATTGATTGCGCGACCTTAATTAAAAGATTCATATTTTATGAACAAACATTTAATATGCATGTGTCGTCTTTCACGACGCGATTATCTCAACGCCTCACTTGCATTGCATTATTTACCAGTCAGCCTACCGCAACACCATCGTCGACACACACATATATATATATATATATATGTATACACTCTTGGACAAAATTGAGAGGACAACCTCGAAAAATTTTTACCAATGATTATTTCATGAACGTAATTCGTTTTTATTATTCAAACATTTGTTCTATTTATTGCAAAATAATGTGGCCATATACAGTATTTCGAATCTTCGCGAGCCGGTGCATCAAGCTGTGTCTCTAGTTTTTAATTGGCATGGAAGTAAGTCCATTTATATAAATATGTAACGAACTGTCCTCTAAATTTTGTCCAATGCTAATTTGACATCGGTTCACATTTTTGAGAAAAAATCACGAAATTCAAAAATATTCACTAAAATCTCTCCTAGATTCTTTTAGTTCACATTATTTTGCAATAAATGGAACAAATGTTTGAATAATAAAAACTAATTACGTTCATGAAATAATCATTGGTAAATTTTTTTCGAGGTTATCCTCTCAATTTTGTCCAACATTGTACAATAATCTCGACTTTCACCTGAATCGGTTCACATTTTGCACTACCTTGAATTCAATTCTATTCATTCTGTTAGCATAAGAATTTTCAAATTTTCCTTGAACATTCATCTCCAAGCCAATGCTTTCCATGAACGGGTTGAATGAGGGATTTTACAAAAAGGGATTTTTAGCATTCTCAGTGGTGAAATGAAAAAGACCTTCATTTGCCATTTCTATGGGATCCTTTCAAAAAAAGGGATTGCAATTTTAACGGGAAATGTTCCAATCAGAATGAAGCTTAAATGGTTTCATTGTGACCGAAAGGGATTTTACCTTGATGGGCTTTAGTTTAAACTGAACGTTTCAGTTGTGCGCGTCTCCACTGAACGTTCAGTTGTGTGTTTGAAAAAGTTCACTTTTTCAACGCTATTGAAAGCTCCAATAAAAGTTTGTCTTACTTAATGGTGTCGAGTCAGAGTATTTACTTAACGGTACATCGGAATAACAAACGCAGGTTCTTATTTTCTGTGTTGATATATGATGAGGCTTTTAAGAAGATATTTGTATTTATAACGGAGGATGATAGTCCGACAAGTGACGCTCCATAGACTATTTTGCATTACAAATCAAAATGTCAAGAATGCCAGTTTTTTGCATCCTGGACCTATATATACAGCTTTTCGATTAAAAAAATACACCAGGCATGTTATGTACCGTTGGGAAGATATTGATCCATATAGAGTCAACAACAGCATATACTCTATGCATAGAAGGAAGTGTATTTTATCAGTCTTGTTATCTTCGTGTTATTGATTCAAGAAAGTAAGCGTATTCAATATTTTCAACATTTGGAAGCTAATTGAAATGGATTGGTGTATCCGCTTAGAAACTGTTCAGTGTTCACAGGAATTAAATACAAATAAGGCACACTTGAATTCAAAATACCCAGAATATGATAAATACTAATCGAATTAGTTCGACTCAATACACATTGTGCGATATTTCATCGTTGATTGTAATTCATTACCCTTTGATTTGTCCGCTTATTCATTAATTGCTCTGGATTTTTAAATATGATTTCCATTCAGAAATGTTCGCTTGTGTCTCAGGCATATGGAAATACAAAATTACGGCTGTCCACCAAAGTATAGAACAATTATGCGATGCAAACAAAGCAGTTAGTTCTGAATTGATGTATTTTATTTGATAAAGTGAAAAAAACTTCCTTCTAAGTTGTTCCTCGTGATTTTGAATTGCTTTTTTTCGTTCTTCTGACTAATTTCTGAATCGTTGCGTAATGAATTTCCAAAATTGCCATCACTTGTTTTGTGTTCGCTTTCGTCACAAGCGAACTTGGGAAGAAGTGTTTTGTTTTCAAAAGAAGTTCTTATTATCAAGGTTGATTGAAATCACCTATCCTCTAGAAATTGAGTATTCATTTGTGTTCATATTGAATCGAAAGGTTGTTATCATCAGTTGATGGATGGCTTGTTGGTGGACAATTAAAAACTAGCATTTGCAATAAGTGCTCATGATTAGATATTGATCTCTATTTGGCGATTGTGTTTATAAGTATTTTATATATGTAGAATCAACCATTTAACTTGATAGTTGGAATTTTAGTCAAATGTTTACAATTTTAGAAAATTTATCATTTTGAATGACCCATTGTTTTCTGTGAAAAAAATCTATATAATCAAATCGATAAGATTATTTTTGTTCCAAAATTTATGGAATAAAAAGGCCAAAATAATCTTTGAAATTTCAAAACGTAATGGCATATGTTGAGTTAAATGGTTTGTTTTGATTCAAGTTTTTATCAACATTGCGACTTATTGCAATAAATTGGGAGTTCACAAAGAAATCGGTGGTGGGCACAAGTAGTAGAGAATAAAGAAAAATATGCTTAAAAGCATTTTAATATGTGTTTCAGCTGCTATAATGTAAGTGTAGTATTTAATATAGCCAACAAAATATTGGTTAATAATGGTCCAAAAAATATTGTAGAGCGACGAAAGCTTCTGAAGTGATGGTGGATTCACGGCAAAATGCATCAGATAGATTTTTTCCGGGAGATTTTTGGTTTGGGACGTCGACAGCAGCTTATCAAATTGAAGGTGCTTGGAATTTGGAGGGCAAAGGACCCAGTATCTGGGATGAATTTACGCATTCACATCCTGAAAAAATAGTTGATCATGGAAACGGTGATGTCGCTACCAATTCGTACGAGTTTTATCTGGACGACGTGAAAGCAGTAAAAAATCTTGGCGTAAGAAATATACTACATTGTCAACTAAAATGCTGTAACTATCATTAGTTCAACTCCTTATTTTAATTTTTTTTCCATTTTTAGATGGACTTTTATCGGATTTCGATTGCTTGGTCACGTATTCTACCGACTGGTGATATAGCCAACATAAACGAAAAAGGAATTGAATACTACAACAAGCTGATCAACGCAATTATTGGTCACAAATTGGAGCCAATGGTAACGATGTATCATTGGGACTTACCTCAAGACCTTCAAAAATTCGGTGGCCTCACCAATTCAATCTTTATAAGCTATTTCGAGGCATACGCCAATTTACTATACGATCGCTTTGGCGATCGTGTCAAATATTGGATAACCTTCAATGAACCAAGCGTCTTCTGCACCACGGGATATGGGTCTGACAAACATGCTCCGGCCGTTAATGCACACGGTGTTGGCGAATATTTGTGCGCCCATAATGTTTTGAAGGCACACGCCGTTGCATACCGTTTGTATAGGAGTTTTTACTACGAACAATACAAAGGTCAAGTTGGAATTACGCTTTGCTCTCAATTTTTTTACTCCGATTCAAATGATATGCATGCAGTGGATCGGGCTATGCAATTTTCCCTTGGTTGGTTTGCTAACCCAATCTTTTCTCTCGCTGGAAATTACCCAGACGTTATGATAACGAGAATAGCCAATAATTCTATTGGAGAGGGACGTTCGTGGTCGCGATTACCATCGTTCACCGACAAGTGGATTGAAACAATACGCGGATCTGCCGACTTTCTTGGACTGAACTATTATACCAGCCGCTATGTTGAAGTCAATCCGGAGCCGAAGGGTCTATATCCATCTTATGAACGCGATTTAAATTTGAAAATGGTAATAAAGCCCGAATGGAAACCAAGTGCATCAGATTGGCTATATTCTGTGCCAAAAGGTGTTGGTGATATTCTGAGGTATGATCACATTTTACACATAATATGATCACATAGACGAAACTAACTTATTGGAGGATTATTAGGTGGATTAAGGAAGAATATAATAATCCAGAAGTATTCATCACTGAAAATGGCTGGTCTGATCACGGTGAACTCGACGATAACGATCGCATAGCATACTTACACGATCATCTGGAACAAATTCTGGACGTAGTTTTGAATGACGAGTCGAATCTGAAAGGATACACAGGTTTGCGGCATGATTTATAGAAAAATTCAGTCGAATAATTTTTTCTTACTGTTTTTCGTATCGTTTTACAGCTTGGTCCATTATTGATAATTTTGAATGGGCTCAAGGATACGCGTAAGTGTTATATGCTTTATTTATAATTACAAAGACATGATTTAAACATACTTTTTATTTGATCTTTAGTGAAAAATTTGGACTATATTCGGTTAATATGTCATCGCCAAGGCGAGAGAGAACCGCTAAGAAATCAGCAAAATTTATGGCAACGGTGGCATCAACTCACCGAATACCGGAAATAAATTGATTTTTTAAATGATTAGTTTAAACATTTACGTTAAAATAAAAAACATAACTTTTCAATTGATTATGAATGAAGAAAAATGTTATTCATAATTATGCCCAATTGATGTTCGCCTTCTATTTCGATCCGGTGAATTTTCCTAGGGGGAAACCGCGAATTTCTTCCGACGATTTTGAAATGCTTTTATCCGTTCTTTTAACTAAGGCCGTAATCAATTTCCGAAATTGGCATCACTTGTTTTGTGTTCGCTTCTGTCACAAGGAGGACTTAGGAAGAAATTTTCATTTATCAAGGTAAATTTAATGCACCTATAATCTAAGAATTGTGTATTTCCTTGTTGCATCATGTTGATGAGCTGAATAACTTTAGAATTTGAACAAAATTTTGTAATGGTGTTTATATTGAATCGAAAGACAGTTATTGTCACTTGATGGATTGCTTGTTGGTGCACAATTAAAAACTGGACTTTGCCAATAACCACAGATACCGATCTCTTTTTGGCGATTGTGTGTATAACTCTTTTTATAAATGCGGAATCGACCAATCGAATTGATAATTGGAATTTCCGTCAAATGTTTACAGTTTTCGAAAATGTAACATCTTGAATAACCCATTGTTTTCTGTGAAAAAAATCTGAATAATCAAATCGATAAGATTATTTTTGTTCCAAAATTAATGGAATAAAGAGCCGCGATTTTTGTAAGAAATTCAGTTCATTTCTTACCTTGCTAAGTTTCGACATAATCATAAAAATGAAGATCATCATTTTGTTCGTTTCTTTCATACTTTATGGCAGTTGCCTTCTTTATTCGATTCCATTTGCAACAACAGATAGACCAGATGGAATATCAGACTACGTAGATGAGTTACCAAATGAAATACAAGAAATCCTAGATCAATTTCCAGATGTCTCATTAGATGAATTATCACATGAATTCGCAGATGATTTCCTACAAGAACCAAAACCAAAAATACCAAAGGTAAACCTTGCTAATCGTACCGATTTAGTTATTAGTAAGTTAACTTAAATATAAAATTCTGGAAATGGTTGAGCATCATTTCATAACATAATTATATTTTTAAAGGAACTGAAGTGGGGAAAGGATTACAACAAGACTGAATTCGTTGAGGCGTTTCAATCTTTGGTTCCCAAAGAGTCTCAAACGCACGAAGACATTGTTGAGAACGTAAGAGTAAGTTCAACTGATTTCATTACTTTCATTTCGAGTGTAAATCCGTTTTTTAAGAATAATCATTAAATTATTTTACAGAAAATCTTGGCAATGGATTTGAAGTTTGGACTCAAGAAATGTCAACTTACCAATGGAAAGCGATCCAAACAAATTTGTGATGTATGTGTTTCATTTCTGTCTTTATTTGGAATTGCTAAAAGTTAACTATATTCGTACCTATCAGGATTTCAAATACATGGATAAGATTATCTATTCAGTAATGTCCAAATATCCAAATAACAAGGAAGACTTGGTAAAAATGGCGAAAAATATTAGAAAAACATCGTACATGTTTTATGAGGTGACAAGGTTTGGCCGATACCCACCTACGGAATTAATCAATGGCACGAAAGAGTTCTTTGAAAGAATAAAAGAAAATTTTAAATTTCCGGATTTTCCAACAGCTTCCCACAACCTGACAAATGCAGAGGTATAATCTAATGGAACAACAAATTTGAAATGTATTTTTTCTTGCAAATCATTTTAATTTTTGTTCTACTTTTATTTAGATGGTATTAGTTACAGAAGTCCAGCTCTGGGAATATGCGATTTTCTTTCGTGTACCTGATTGTTATATTCATCTATGGTTTTCTGTATGTATTGATACATATTTACTTTTGATTATAAATTCGTCAATTTCCATATTAATGTTGTTTTTTTCTAGGTTCTTAATAACATTCAAAAGAACATTAACCTAATATCTGAGTCTGATGAACAGCTAGAAACAATTTTGGAAAAGGTTGAAAATATCAAATCTAAGATTAATGACATTGTAGTCAATCAAAAAGTACGTAAATCTCAAGCCGTTTTTTTTTCAACGGAAATGACACTTCTAACATGGTCTTCTATATATTTTCTGCATTCAGGAATTCATGAGAAAAGTGAGTGAATGGGATGAGATTTTTAAACTCCGTGACAATCTTGTGAATCAGAAATAAGACCAGCAATTTGAATCTTTGTTCCCGGATAGAATCTTTTGCTAAATTTCTCTCACAAATAAAACGTTATTTTCAAGAAGAATAATCTGTATCTCTAATACTGCTAAAATTAAATGTTCGTCTGTGTATGAATGACAAAATCGAACTATCCCTAGTAGAACATTGGATGAAACAACGACCGGAAATTCCAAACATTGAATTGAATAGATTTCATCTAAAGCGTTCGCTTTAACAAATGTGGAATTGTCATTGTAGTGGTGCGAACACGATCTGGTTGCGTACACACTATCTGTGCTCAGTGCATCGTACACAGTGCCTGTATTTTCCAAGTCCTTGGTAATTTCTGTGTGTATGTAGTGTGCGTGTACTGTACATTCGAATTGAATGTAAAAATTCCCTAATTCTTTTGAAATTCATGCTTAACTTTTAAGCGTATTCAGAGATAATACAGCGCCTTAACATCCCAGCAAATGATATCAGTCATTTTGAGTGTTGAATCCGCAGGAGCATCACTTCAATTTAACCTCGTCTGGATATTTTTAAAATCTGATAGCATATACAATACTCGTTACATTCAATGTAAACAGTTCGTTTGCTTGTGCAAACATTGCATGGCACAAGTCACAAGTCACAGTACATCGACAGCCTCAAGAAAACCATTTTATAGTCGCATTGAAATGGAATGTCAAATGTGTGTTACAACAACACAATTGACTGGCCATAAATAGCATGTAAGAAAATGGTAATTCGGTCAACAACGGATGGACCATCATCAAATATTACAACAAAATCATGATTGACTCGTGCTGCAAAACAGGTGACATGGACGTAACTGAAATGAGGCCCATTTCGATTTGCCATTATGTAGATTAACGGTGGCATCTTTCAAGTAATATGTTACTTACCCATTTTTATTTCCGTGTCGTTTACTCGAAGCTCAAAATTACGGTAGCCGACAAACATAAAATTGCGCTGCTCCTTACGGCTGCTCGGTAGTGTTTAGTAAATGGGCCAAATTCACGAAACCAATCGAAAGTGCCTTCGTTTTCATCGCACCGAAAATTGGATTGAAAGCTTTGCGGCGATGTGATGTATACACACATTTACTGCCGGCAGACACTTTATAGACTCTCTCGGCCCCACATAACTTAATTATTAGCAATCGATTTCATATTTTTTTTTTTTGGCATAATTTTTTTTTATTATGCCATTTTTATAATCAAATAAAAAAAACGATATTCCCCAAGTCACTTTATCAACCGTAAACAGAGCCATTTTCATTTTGTTGCTCCTTCTTTGCTCTCTGTTCAGACATAAAATTACAGACCTTCACATGGATATGACAGTGGTGGTTCGCCCGAAAATCGCTTTATTAAGGACAACTTTGTAGCCGCTTTATTTATTTTGCAAATAAAAATTTACCATTGTACGACTTGAAAAGAGACAATTCAATTACATTTTTTTTTGACTAATTTTTATTATCTTATCTGTCCTTTTTTCTGCTTTCCTATTCAGATTTCGTTATTCAGATATTCACATTTTGTAGCTTATTTTTGTTATTGATTCTTCTATGAATTTCTTGCTTGTTATATTCTAATCGAGCTTCAGAGATAGAGATATTGAGATGAAGAGAGAGAAAGAGAAAGAGAAAGCGAAAGAGGAAGAGATAGTTTTATGAACTAGAATCAAGGCGGACGTTTTCACTTGATTGAATTAAGAGTAAAAACGGTCCCTTGTTGAATTCTGTTCATTTGATTTTCAGAATTGAACAAAATCGAATCTTATGAAAAGTCATATAACTAAAATCATGAATGAATTGGATCAAATGCGATGTACATCAAAATGTAGTATCTTATCAATCACATTGTTTCGTTTCGCTTCCTAAATAGATTATGAAACTGTTTTGTCAAAGTTCCGAAGAGAGTTGACGGGACGTCTACATGTAATGGTGCAAATGCCGTGTGTATCAGAGTGTGGTTAGCGTCTGTGTCTCTTCTGTATTTCTTTTCTCTTCACCTCGTCGGCGAAGCTTGTTGGAAGTCGAGTCAAGTGGAGGTGCCATGTGTATTTTCTGCATTTCCAAATAACATTATTTATACCCATAATAAAAACGGTTCATTGAATGTAACTTTGTATTTTGGAATTTCAATAAATTAGACAGTTGTTTTTAATCCGTTGGTTTAGTGTAAGTTTCGCGTAAAATGTGCCGCCATGTGATTTCGAATGGGATTAAATGAATAAAATTAACAAAACCAACGCTGAGGAGGAGTAGAAGAAAAAAAAGAATGAATGTGTTGCAGGACACAAGGTGATAAATTGAGAAAACAACAATTTAATCAATTTGCCGTAATAATCGTCACTGGTCGTGATTGACGAAACACGAAATAAAATTGACCGTTTGCTTTTGTTATTTTCCGTCCATTACTTGATGCTTGTTATTGTGTTGGCGATTGCGCACTCACAGTACCGCAATAGAAAATTAGCATATAATAAACATTTTATTTTTATTGTTAGTACAATTCGTCTGGCGATGCAGTCGGCATGTTGTTTATTTGTTGTTGCTGTTGTTGTTATTGTTGTTGTTGTTGTTTTTTGGGCTCGTGCGATGAGTTGATTTGCCGTTGGTTTCGATTGATGTGTTTTTTTTCCCGATGGACGGCTTGTGAAGACAACGCGAATATTATCAACAGCAGAGATGTGAAGGGAGAGAACAAAAAGCAGGTGCGATCGGTACATATGTTTTTCCTTGTGGTAATTTGACTTTTGTGTATGTGTGTCTTGAAACGCAGTGCAACAAAATTAAGCGCGTTCATACACACATACATACACACCTATACAACAGTCTCACGCACATATCAACACAACGATCATTTAGGAGCATTTATGAAATCAGATGGATCAGCTTTGATCGCGAGCGCGCACTGAGTGTCTTGCACACGATGCATATGTTTTTTTCTCTCTTCCATCATATTCTGATTCGGCGCTGTTTCTTTCTTTGTCGCTGCTGTTTTTCTGACCAGTTTATTATTATGTCGCATGTCTATAAAACAAAAATCGCTATATGCATACCGATCGATACAGATTGTCAATAATTTTAAATATTGTCAATGCACACGGCTTTTTGGTTCCATTGAACCTTTGCATCTCTTGTTTGTGCACAGCTTAACCGCAACCGCTTTTTTCCCCCCTTCTTTTTTGTTCATTTGCGAAACGTACGCGTATGTGTATCTGCAATGTGTACGGTAACCGTTTAAATTGGCTGGACGATTGTTCTATCCGCTATCATTGAACATGATTCATTTTTTGTAGTATCAAAATGACTCATCAGAATAAGATACTTTGAATGGCAATTTCCGATTTGTTTAAGAAAATTTCTCGTTTTCTTTCTTTCGTTCACAATCGAAGATTCATTGCATTTGGGTGTAGATATTTGATTTGGTAGAAGAACATTTAAACTGAGTCCAATGCGAACAACGTCTCTTTCTTTCAAACAGCAATTTGTACACGAGCAAGTAAGTGTGACAGTTAGTAAGTGAGGGACAAAGTTCGACAGAAAACAATTTTGTTATGTCGGTTTAAATGTTTTTTCAAGAGTAACATTTTAGCTTTAAATAACGTTAAGTATAATTTTTTCATATTTGCAGACTTTCGGTACAAAAGCGGTTAATAAAAACAATTTTGCATTGTATTGCAAAACAAAAGCCACTCTTAATTTCATTGAATTTCAGACTGAAATACTTCATGTATTGTTAGTCAGTAAGTAATCAGAATTGGTCCCTTTTTCGGGTCAATGTTTTGTTTTTTTTTCTTTAAATTTCCTTTCAATCAAATGAATTTCGATGAATTCGGCCAGATGACCTCTGTATCATTATGTACACATTTCGTCTATCTATCGCTGTCAAATCTTCTATAACGTCTTTGTATTGGATACAATACGAATAAAGAGAGAAAAAATCTCCGTCAACTAGTAATTGTAGTGCGTTTAATTTTGAGAAATAAAGAATAATCCTTTTTTTTTTAATTCAGTCGTGCAATGAAGTTTCAATTACTTTGATTTTTTGTAACGTTTTTTCCTTCACCTTTTTGCTGCATGTTTAAAATGATTGAGGTGAAGGGAAGGGAAAGAAACATAAGCACAGCGCCCGAAATACACACCAGACCATATGGTGATGGTGTTCGTTTCGATTGTTACCTCTTGATCATTTCTCTAGTGTGTTGTATAATTCCCGCTTTTTTCGTACAGATATATATATATATATATTCTTCTCTAGCCCATATGCACGATGAGCCATAAATTAAGCGTATATAGACCTCATGTATATTCAATTGTTCGGAGGAGGATATTCTGGTATGTGTTTCTCTTTTTCGGGGAGGGAATGAAAAAAAGTAAGACAATCTAATGACAAAAAATGACTTGTTTCCGGGGGAAAGATTTCAGAAAAAAAAATTGAATAATTTTGAATAAATTTGAGGGAAAATAGCGCGAAAGAACCTTGAATCATAAATGATCGCTTTGTTGCTGTTTTCTACATATTTTATGCTGATCGTTTTCATACCTTTGTTGCCGTGAGACTTTTGTTGCCTCGGCATTGACCTTGTTTTGCAAAATCTTCATTCGGTTTTTTTGTTCAAATGAAGTTCATAAATGCTCACAATCAAGCAACGAATTTTAATCAGACAGAGATGGCAAAATGACGGATCTAAGGCAAAAAATTAATTTTTTTTCTTCAATTCAAAAATCAACCTTTAAAGATTTTGGCAATGATTAACTTTCATTAATATATTGCCGCAGTCTTAGGAGTTTGAAAAGAGAAAGAAAAATGTTTTATTAATGAACTTATAAAATAATAATGGTCTAAATGGTTTTTAAAAATTGTCAAAATGAAATGCAAACGATAGACCATTATTATTTTTACATAAAATCGAGTGTCCCTATGACAATTTTTTAGATACAACATCAGTTATGTTCATCGTCTGATGATGAGACAAGTGTTTCGAAAACGTTTGCTGAAAGTAAACTTGCATAAGAAATAAACTAACTTGATAACTAATGCAGTATTCCATCGAACTTATTTTCTT